GTGTTAATCTTCGAGAGCCGTTTTGTTGAACCTGACTCGGGTAAAACTTGTCGCAAACGGTCAAGACCGTCAATGATTTTGTGCATTCGGACCCTTTCTCTCTTGTTAGCCGAACTTCTATCTTTGACGCCGGTACCCTGATGCGTTTTGTCTCTTTTCCATGTGTAGGACAGTGTTGGTTCTCTTTCCAAGTCGCCACACTCGCCGTTGCCGAACAGACCGTGACATTTATCGTATTCCGTACCCTGTGAAAGTTTCTCGAAGTCGATGGCGTTGACTTGATCTGCCAGGCTTGTGTAGGAGTGTACAGACATCGGTGTGCATTGGTGATCGTTCTCCGTAACCAGATGATTCCCGTGACATTCATCCTTGTCATACTCGATACATGGTATGGAATCTGGATACATAGAATCTTCAAATGCATACGTCTGGTGAGAGTAGTCATTATACAGACAACTGGTGAAATCTGGAACTTGTCTCTCCATCTTGATATGTAACTCAGGTGGTATACGTCAGTAGACTGGAAGCTGTGATGGTGTGATGCCAATGCAAAGGGAGGGGGTACTATTTATACTTTTGACTTCGATTGACAACAATGAACAAACAAATCTAACTAATCCAACATATAAACAACCTTGCTTACGTAATGAGTAGCTCAAACTTGGCGCGTGGAGTGGACGATTTCATTTTGTGTTCGGGAAAATGTACGTGGGTGCAGTCCCGCTAATCCTCGGGATTACATAATACAATGCCATTTTTCTCTTAGATTTTGGCCTCAATTAAACTATAAATACCCAGCGCTATATATTGTAGGATCTATGATCCAACAGGCTGTTGTCCATGTAATTTCAAGAAATCAATCAATCAATTAATTTAATTTACCTGAACGAAACCCGTCGAATTCAATGCATTGTCAGTTGTTCTTTTTCTTTTTTTACTTATTTAATTTTAGTATTTTCTTTCATGACGTTTCACCGTTATCGAACCCTAAATCATTAACACCGACATAGGGATGACATGGGTTATTCATTTATTTTAGTTTCACCGTCACTTGAGACCCCCACTATCTACTCACATGCATGACAGACTATTGGATGTGCACGTACTAACATGATAACCAATCGACTCGTCAAGAAAGTTTCGAGAAAGTTGTTTATTAACCACGTGACAACATCCATTGACTTAAATTGGTTCAATATTATTCAAAATATGATTTTTTTTAGAAAAGTTCCATAGAACACAATTTTAAAGCAAAATCATATTTTTATCACTTTTCAAAACCGAGAATTTACAATAATTGAGGATAACCCGAAGTATCCCGTCAAACACGATAAACATTATATCACCTAATTCACCAGCCAACAATTTGGCATATTATCTCCCCCAGAGACCAATGGTAACAACGTTCTGAAACAAATAAAATTGCCGACAATCAATGAAATATAATAACCCTAATTTTCTCGGAAAATGATCAGCTGAGCCCATTTTTAAGGTTTACCTTCGTAGTTTGGTATAATAAAATGAGAAATTGGTAAATTATAGGTAAGAGTTGGCTACTAATTTTTTTCCGTAATTTACCACTATTGTCACGTGATATGATGGGCAATGTTGTACTGGGTGGAGACTTGGCATTGATTGACAGTTTGAAAATTGGGATATATTTGGATAGCTACATGAGACGTCAAGCGATGGGAAATATAAACAGCTGGTTTATATTGAGATGATACGGACGATAAATCGCAAAGACAAGCAAACCATGCCTAGCAGGAAGTCTAAAATTTCCGGGTTAGTACTTTTTTAATAGTGCATTAAATGTCCTTGGATCGGGGTTTAAATGCCTATCTATAATGCATTTTGTCAGTACACGAACGGGGAAAAAGGCCGTTACTAAAAAAACCCACAAACCGTTCGAAATGTGGCTAGGCAGCGTGTATGGTATTTTGCGGAAAACGCCACCAATCATTAAAATTATATACACATACATATATATTAAAAAAAAATGATATAAAATGAGATAACCCATTACCAGTCCTCCTCAAGGGCTGGAATAGTAGTTCTTCTGAGTATCTGCATGTTTTTACCAGACTAGGACTTTTCAGCCCGAGTTTTTGACAACACATAAAAGAAGCTGTTACAATTCTCCTATCACCCCCCTAATCATTTTTTTCCAATGATTTTGTTTTTGCCCGTGACTTTTTAAACGCGCACCCGCTACACATCATGTTATTTCAAACCTGAAAGAGGCTTTGTTTCGCCTCAGTCTTCCCCGTTATTAGCTTAGATTCTTTAAGAGACTGTGATGAGTCCTAGCATTTACCCTCGGCATTTGCTTTTATAATCCGAACGAACAATAGCTAACCTTTGGAGAGGGTGGGGCAATCCCACGGTCTTAATGATTATCAGAATCCATGTCGTTTACTCTCTTTAAAAGTTATTTCACGTTGAAAAAAAGTAAGAACTTAAAAGAAAATTTGAATAAATTGCTTGGAGTACTCA